CTTCTCAGGCCAGGGCTGAAGATTTGGGAGAGAGGCCTGCAGCTGAAAGAGGCACGGAAATCCAAGTATTGATGCCCAGAGGTTCGTGTTGATGCACCAAAGCAGCAGTGCGAGACGCCAGGAGACGTCGGGCACATGCAGGCGGCAGGCATGTGCAAGCGGACCGCCCGCTGGAGCTGGGTTCCCAGATTTTTCCTCAGCACAACGACGTCTGCGAGCTCCCCGTGGTGAGGAGCGGGCACACAAACCTAAGGACACACGCGAGGTGCGTCTCCTGCACATACTGCAACGAACAGTTGGCTCGATGGCGGGACGAGAAGAAAACACGAATTGTGCTGTTGTGCCGAAGATCCCACGTTCACCGAGCAGGTGGTGCTTTGAAGGGAGTGGCAGGTGTCATGTTGAAGTCTCCTAATAATTAATAGCGACCTAACCCGAAGTTCTAAGGAACACTCGTTGTCGGAACCGTGTTGTAGTTTAGGGGCCTATAGGTGTTCGAACTAACTCAACCGGATGTCCGGGAGACGCTAGGGAGCCATGCTTATGCTGTGAGTGAGCACCACTGTTGACCTTCCTTTGTCGATCTTTGTCGATTAATCACTGATTGCAGCCTGCACGTTTGCTGGGAAATGATTGCGCCTAGCTTCGGCTGCAATGCTTGCCAGCTATCCACAACTCTACGGCTCGAAAAAATACGCTCTCGCAACTCGGACACAGCCAGACGAGGTTCTTTGTGCGCAGTCGGACTAGGGTAAAGGTGGCTCCCGAGTCAGCTTGGGAAACACAGCCAAAGAAAAGTTGACGCCACGATGACACTAACTCGGGTCCTTCAATTTGCCCGTATAATTAAGTGTGCAACTTCTGCGCAGGTAGCAAGAAGTCCTACCTGGAGGTTCATGGCTAGTTATAAGTAGGGCCAAGTCGGGTAACTATACGTATAACCCATATTAGGGGACTTATCAACCCTACTTATAACTACTCCTGAACCTCCGAACCTCCAAGCAAGCATGACCTGACAACAGTCAAGCCTCGAATTCCTACCCGGCCAAATCATTTCGAGCACGCGGTGGAGAAACTGACTCATCTCCATCTTACCTTTGGTTAGTAGGGAATGGAGGAATGGGGTAAAATTATAACTACATACAGTAACTACTGTTACTACCATTCTTCCATTCCCTACGAATCAAAGGTAAGTCATTAGATGCCTTGTGCAGTGTTCTGAAATCCAGCGTGGCTCTTCAGGCTTGGCGGAGGAAGATTTGCATTGAAGGTCGACTCCTGTCCGAGCCCGGTTCGGAGAAGAGGGAACGGCCAAGCTCAAGTTGGGTCCTGTACTGTACGTTTTGCCCGCTTGCTGTCTTCAGTCTACCTCAACTTGAGCGCTCACTAACTCTTGGTCGAGCTCGTCAGCCACAAGCTTTGTGTGGCTGCCGTCAAGCTGCCCACAGGATCTCCTTCGGAGCCAGGGCGTGGGTTGGACTTCAAAGTGCAGGGGTGGCTGGGGTGGCGGCTCTCCTCCTACGACAGTGATGCTGCCGGAATGACAAAGATCTGAGTGGCGAGGTAGAGAACCGCGAGCGCAACCAAGCAGATCAATGCTACCTCGAGATCGTGAGGCGGGGGTTTCTTGGGCGGCGTATGTAGGTCGGACGAGACATGCACTAAGCCCTACTCGGGTGACTTGTCCTGGCCCAGCCTTGGAGCAAATTTTCTTTGGTACCTGGCCCTATAAACCTTTCATACGCACGTTCTGCAAGAGCCCAGATGCCGCCAAGCATATGCAGCCGCACCTCAGCCGGGCCACCTTCGGAGGCGGTGTGGTCTGGAATGTAGCACACATGTGAAGACAGGGGGCTGGGGGCCATGATCATCCATGCTTTGGAGGCCTGGGGCAGGTACGGTCCCGGTGGGATGCGGAACCCCGGTATTCGGAACGCAAATTGGCAGGATTTGCGCAGCCCTTCCGCCTTAGGCCATGTGACACTATAGATAGTGTTGGAGGCTTCTTGCGCACGTTGACTTGTCGGTACGATGTTTCCATCATGGCGTCTTGCGCTGAACCGAGGCACATCAACACTGGAAGGGAGCATCAGCAAGACCCGTGGCCAGTGGGTGTAGGAGCTTCGTTACGCCGCCGCTGTGAGTCGCGAGTGCTCGGCCTGCCCTGTCTTGGGCACTTGGAAGCAGGTGCGGAGATGTTTGGAGTTCGGAGTTCCGGGGCTTTGCGACCTGGTGTGGCCACACTTATGGACACGCAGCGGAGTCGCGCGGCTCAACAACACATGTACAAAGCGTGCTTGGCTCTGGGGTTGAGGTGGGGCTTGGATAGAGGATTGAGAGTACCCCCACCCCCGCCAGAGAACTGTTGTTTCCCCGTGTCAGGCCTTCTTGGCGCCCAAGAAGATCTGGAGTAACTCAGCTGGACGTGTGATTGCTTCCGCAAGGTTGATGCGGTCCTTGGGCTCCATGTACTGACCTGACGGATGTCCAGTAAGAATGAATTTCTTTGAAGCCCTGATCAACAGAGTCTCTCAGACAAGTGCTTTTACCGGGGAGCGCACAACAAGGAGCGATGGTTCTCACTTGAATGGACAAACACCAACCTGTCTCCCTAGTTCTATCCCGGTATCTGGAAGCCAAGTAGGACCCCTGTCCGGCCAGATCATCTTGTGCCACACATCAACCATCGCTACTGCACCCATCAGAGTGAAGATAGCAAAAACGATCATGACCGATTGCGAACTGCCATCTCTGCAGAGGCAAAGCAGAACTGCAACCCACATGGGAGACACCTCGAACAACTGCTACTGAACCCACGGTACATCTCGGAACAACCATAGCCCGTACGACCTCACACAGCAAAAACAGCGAGCAAGGCTAAACCCCAAACATCCCTAAACCCAAACAATGGTTTTGGAACAGCATCAAGGGGCGCTCTTCCGCAGGATTTCGCTTGGCCTCGTCTTCGGTCAAAGCCTGCCAGCAAGTGTGAGCTCAGAAGCCTCTCCGAAGGCTTGAGGAAAGCTGCAAACCAAGAGCAAGAATCCCCTAAACACTCTTAGAGGGCAGGGTTTTTAGGGCTTCCGGTTTAGGGCTTGGGTTGACGAGTTTCCCCCCAAAGAACACGCCCAGCCAAAACCTTCGCATTTCGAGCATCCTCTGACTGGCGAGGGCCGATTCGGGGCGCTTACAAGCGTTTGCACACGCCAGCCGTCCAACTGACGGTGGGTCACAGCAAAGCAGATGCTCACAGTCAGTTTGAAGGCCGTGTCGTGCATACTGGCTCCCGCGATCTCCCACGACGTTCAGCGCTACAGTATGGAAGCCAAAGAGTTGCAAACCCAACATCCTCAATCCTCAAAGTTACAGGCAATCCCAGCACACATAACGAACACATGTAGGGAAGACAATGCTCCCAAGTTGTCCCGGAACACCAGGGGCTTCGGTCTAAGCCTGTAGTTTAACTCTAAGCGAACCTTCTTTACTGCGAAACCCACGGTTCAGTTCGTCTTCCTTCTACCAGCTGAGCTCCTCAAACCCTGTAGCCCTCAACCTTCAATGCTCGACCGATCAGGGTATGTTGTGGCTTCCGCCTGCAGTTCTAGCTTCAGGGTCGCAGGCTCCGGGGCTGCGCGGGCACGGCGGCAACAACAGCAACCTCGGCGTCTGTCTGTGGCTTCCCTTCGAGCATGGGTGTGTGCAGTCTTTGAAGGCCTCCTAGCGGTTCCTGGTGGTTGTCCGGGAAGCTGTCGAAGATGAGGTGATGGACCAGCTTGCGAGATGGAGGCTTCTTTGGGCCGACGCCCACGGCCTGCAGGAGGCAGTCCAGGGGCAGGAACTTTGGCTTGTAAATGTCCACCGACCCCGTCAAACTGTCGGAATCCATGAGCCGCACTTTCAGCTGGCAGTACTCCACCGGGGTCGAAACCTCAAAGATCAGCCTGTCGAAGAAGGAGGCCGTCTTTCGCGCCCATTTGTGCGTGCTGGATGTCTTTTCCATTCTTTTTACCTGCTTGCCCGTCGTCTTCGTCTCGAGTTCCAGCTGCACGAACACGTCGTTCCGCTCGCCAGCATCCTTGAATATGGAAATCCCACTGACTGACTGCACCTTGATCCGCAGCTGCAGGTCCGCCTCGGAAAACCAAGGGACACTGAAAGAGAAGGCCTGAGAGATCCTGTCAACAGAACACGCTACGATCTGCCAGGCCACTGGTTCCATGTTTCGAAACTGAACTTCCGGACATGGCTCTTTGGCGGTGGAGAAATCGATCCAAGCCCTGGACCGGCAAGACGAGCAACTCTACTTCTCGCACTCAGAGGCCTACTGTAGCCAGCCGCTGTTTGCCTCAGCGTCGCGGTGCGGGCAGCGCTCTTCGGATCGCGAAGCAACCAGGTCTCGACGGGAGCGGGGCCTCAGGGTCGCTTGCGGCTAGGGACATGTTAGGGTTTATGGTTTAGGGCAATGTACTCTCCATTCAAGACATGCCATGACATGCCCAGGCCCCTCAGAGTTAGCGGTCCTGCTGGAGCAAGGAAGGGCTCAAACGCTGTAGCTTCCGCCTCCTTTGTCGGGTCGAAGACCACCTTATCAGCCGTTTCTGAGCCGTCATATTCTAGCATAGGGGGCAAGTTCGGGAAGGGGTTCCGTCAGAAATAAGACCACTTCGATTCCTAAGTTCGTCCTGCGAGGAAATGACGTTCCAGGAAGCCGTTGCGGCGTTTGGCTGAACGAAGGCAAGAAGCAGCTGCCAACCAGCCAAAGGGCACCGGGTGTAGGCAGGGACGAAATTTTTGTATGAGACATAAATCGAGCACCTACATGGAAACGCATCGATGCAGACTTTGCAGCGGAAATGAATGCCTGGACATGAATTGAGTCTTGCTCGCGGATTTGTAGTTTGTGGCTTCGTCGTGAAGCAGCAAGAGATCGAAGGGAAGCGAAACATCTACCGAGGAGTCTGGTCACCCATTTTCACCTTACCAGCCTTACCAAACACGGCTCAGCCCTCAAAATGCTGCTTGGGGACGACGCTGTTTCTGTCGTGGAGCGACTGCTGAAACTCGACTCGCAGCTGCTTCGGTTCTAACCACCGTCTCCCTGGGGCAAAGTTAGCCGTAGCGAGCGCCTCACCTCTGACAATCTGATTGGTGAGCGGAGACATGTTGCGGCGAATCCACTCTGCGTTCGACTTCTGACGCAGCCAGGAGCCAAGGAAGGCAATGTGCCGGTCCTCCATGTCAATGGAGACTTCCCCAATCAAGCTGGTTGTGGACATCAGCTCCTCCGAGAGTGCGGGCACATGATTCACCGCTCTAGGGGGGCTGCGGGGTGTCTGCAAGACGACTAGAGGCTGGGGCAGCCAAAACTGAAGCCTTTTTGGGAGAGCTCCTTGTCGTACAACCTTACGACCAACTCCCCGTGGCCAGGTAGCTCCAAGTCCAAGGAAATGAGCTTGTAGAAATCACAGGCCGAGCCAGTCTCGTGGATGCAGCGGGCCTCTCGGTCAAGGCCGACACAAAAGCATTCAAGGGGCTCGTCCCAAAGATTGGTCTGAGTGAGAGAGATGTCAAGAGGTTCTGAACACGCGGCACCCCGACACGTGACCTCTCAACTCGGACTGGGAATCATGATGCAATTTGTAGAAAAGCGCAGCCAGTTTGGGCACAGGCCCACCTTTTGCTCGAAGGAATTCTCCTCATCGCCCCGGATGAACACCTTCACAAAGGGATCTCGAAGCGAACCGGTTGCGTTCGAAATGCCGCGGGCCGTAAGGATGTAGACATTCAAGACGTAGAGCTTCTTGACCCAGAGACGTTCCAGGGGTAAGACCGGGGTCGCAATGGTTGACTCTTCGCTGACACTGTCACCACCTCCCTCCTGGCGTCGGGATTGAGGACATCAGAATTTACAATGGGTGCAGAATTTCTTTGGGAATTTGCCCAGCCAGGCCTCTGGAACGGCAGTATTCGGGGGACAACATGTTGCCGTGCTTTTGGAACCGTCAGTATACTCCGTGACCCGTTTGTGGTCGTGCTGCGGGATCCGTAAATGAACCACGTTGGCTCGTCAGTACTAGCGGGTTGCGTCAAGAGTGCAGAGCCTAGTGGTTGTTGCGGGCACGGTCCGGGATCCGCGATCGACTTTTGGCAAGGTATGGCAATAGCAGAGGGAAAGCACTTTAGCCACGCTTCGGAAGCTTGCTAAACCACCGGTAGTTGGGGGTTCCGTCAAACATACAAAGATTGGTGATGAGGTTTGGACGGTTTGCACGACAGATAGCCCGTCTCTATATTACGTATTGATATGCATAAGCAGCAGTAGTAGTAGTAGTAGTAGCAGCAGCAGCAGTAGTAGCAATAGTACTACTAGCAGTAGTAGTAACAGTACGAAAGCAAAGCGTCAGAAGCAGAGCAGCGGAGAAGCAGAGAAGTGCAAAAGCAGAAAAGCAGAAATGCCAAACAGCAACAATCAACAAGAAAAAGCACCTAAGGCAGGGAAGAGCAGAAAGCAAAAACTAAAAAAAAAAAGCTAAGAAGACCATCCGAGCAGCGGAAAAGCAGAGAAGAAGAAAAGCAGAAAAGCAGAAAAGCAGGCCCCCCCATTTGCAAACCTTCCAAAGCATTCACGATCGATTGTATTTCCTTCGTTTTGAACCCCCGGGAAGCGTTTTCGTGTTGTTTTCTCCTTCTTGTGTGTTGGCGAACACGTCTTAATCCATCTCTTTTCGGCTTATAAGAGAGCGGTGAATTTGGTCTAAAACGAGCGGGGGGGTTGGGGGGCGCAGCCCCCCCCATTTGCAAACCTTCCAAAGCATTCATAATGAATTCAGTTTTTTCGCTGGTCTTCAACCCCCCGGAAGTTTTTTGGTGTGGCTTTCTCCTTCTTGTGCGTTGGCGAGCACGTTTTTGTTCATTTCTTTGAAGCTGTTAAGAGATCCGGGAGTTTGGTGAAAAGAGCGGGGGCTTGGCATCCATTTGACGCAATAGTGTTTTTCTTCTGTAAATCCCAAAGTTGCTACCTTCCTAACCTGTGAGCGGGGCCTCCTGAATCTAGCTAGTATAAACATGTGGGGAAGCAAAGCGCCGCGCTTCTGAATCCCGCCAGTACTCGGGAGAAAATATGTTTGGATGTGCCAGTACGTGGGGGAAAGCATTCTGGTCGCGGTCCCGAATCCGTGGAAAGCCGTGTGGGTAGCGTTATCGTGTGGCTTTCTCCTCTGCACGTTTTTATTCTCTTCTTTGCGGCTTAAGAGAGCGAGGAGTTTCGTCTACAACGAGCGGGAAGAAAGATAGACAGACACATACGCTCCACATAGATATATGTATATATAGATAGAGAGACAGAGTGTGTGTGTGTGTGTGTATGTGTACAATATACACACACACACCTTAGATTTTCATGCACAGGATTTCTGACGCACATAATTGTACACTGTGTTATGTGTGTATATATATGTATATATATATATATTTATATATTTATATATTTATATATTTATATATTTATATATTTATATATTTATATATTTATATATTTATATATTTATATATTTATATATTTATATATTTATATATTTATATATTTATATATTTATATATTTATATTTATTTACGTGTGTGTGTGTGTGTGTTTTATGTAGTTACCTACTTAATGGTTTATATTATATATAAACATATATAAACATATATATATATATATATATATTTATTTATACATTGCCGGTATTTGAATAAACACTCAGTTACCATACTACAAACTAATATAACAGTCTGAAATTGTATGTGTACCTGTATATGTATAAATGTCTGTATGCGTACATGTGTTGTACTCGTTCTCTCTTTCTTTGTTTCTTCCTTCCTGCCTTCGTTCGCTCCTTCTTTTCTTCCTTCCCTTCTTCCTTTTTTCCTTCCTGCCTTCCTTCTCTTCCTTTCTTCCTTTCCGCCCGTGGGCGAAAAAAACAAGGCCCAAAAAAAGGGGGTTTCAGGCAGAGAAAAGGAAAAGCAGAAGCATAAGCAAAGACAAGCAGACAACGGGAAGCAAACAAGCACAAGCAAAAAGCTGAGAAGCAGAAAAGCTGAAAAGCAAACGCAAAAAGCTGACAAGACTAAACAATGCCCACAGATGCAAAAGAAAACAAGTTCCCACGATAAGTAGTCTCCCATATACAGTCATCGTTTTTGCAGGCTACAACGTTAAACGAAATGTGAGATGCCTCTACACCCGGAGACTTTCGTCGCGGCCTAAGGATCCTGATCACGCGTGAATGTACCTCTTCAGCTTCGCACTTCAGCGTCGCGCTCTATACGGGAGTTTCAGAATATTAGGGGGCACCTTATTTTGGGGTCCTTATAATAAGGATCTTACTATTTAGGGTACTCTATTAGGGTCCCCTAGTTTCTCAAAACTCCCATGCCTACAGACAGTAAAGAGCTGAGCTTGAACCTGTCAATTCGTGCGGGGATGTCCGGGCTCTGACGGCGGAATCGGCCGGCTTGCTCCTGAAGCTCCTCGATGATGACGTGGCCCTTCAGGATCCCGACCGACTCCTCACCCTCGATGCTCAAGGCCCGCCTGGCGAGGATGGCGAGGATCCACGCTGTTTTACCTTTACTTTGCCGGCCTAAGGTTCATGCACTTGTCCAGGAAGAAGTTCTTCACGACTGTTTCATCTTGAGCGACAAGCGGGAGCTTCGCGATTTCTGGGAAGGCATCCTCGAGCTGTGAACGGTACCAGTTCGCCGTCCGAGGGCGGTCAAACGCCACGGCACCCCGCTTAAGGATGCGGCAGCAAAATGCGTGTTGGGTAACTGGGATAGGCTTCGTATATCCATCTGGCTTGGGGGTGTGGCGCTTCTGCACGTCGTCCTGCACGGGCATGTCGATTGCAACAGCATCATCGAGGGCGGCGTCGAGTTGCTTCTTCATCTCGACGGCCCCAACTAAAGTCTTGCACGGATACCAGGAACTTTCCATTCCAAACCGAAGATCGAAGTTGGGTACTCTCACAGGAACCAGCGAATCCGACCTTGACACACTTGACCATCCGTTCGGATAGGAGTTTCAGCAGCCCGCACCCAAACAGCAGCCACCACTCGCAGAAAAGCCTTCCTCCCTTCAGAAACTTTTGACCCCCTAGGCCCTAAGCCACATGCAGCCCTTAAACCCTCTGATCACCAACATCAACAACGGGCTCTTTGCAGCCGAAGCGTCGCTTCGAGCTTCACAACGAGGAGTACTTGACCGGGCTTGTCCCAGGAACACACGGTTGGCGGTGCGCTCCAGACGACCTGCAGAAACCGGGAAGCCTTGGAGGCCTCACACGCGCCCTCCTAAAAGGGCTCCTCTACCCTTGATAGTGTTTCTCACTACAATTATGACTGTCTTTATTTTTAAACCTGATATTCTTCTTGCTATTAGAATTATATCATAATTCTGATTATTAGAGAGGCTTCGGAAGGGCGGCTTCCGGGCCTGGCCATCGCTCTTGAAACGCACCACCAGGATGCTCGTCAGCTGCGCCGGCTCGGAGATCTCGGGCGAGTCCGAGGCCGGCGGCCGCTCGAATAGAGCCTCCACCTCTCGGCGGAATTTTGCAGAGAAAAACCACGCAGAGAGTGATCCTGCTCCACATATCATAGCCAAAAAACACTTCCTCTCAATTCGACGCTGACAAGTGTGGTCCGCTGCCCCTATCTAAGTCGATCACTGTCGAAGAGTGCATCTGCTGAAAGGTAAGGTGCTCAACTCTTCCTACTGTCGCAAAACCATGTGACTCAGCTGCGAGCACGCCTCACCGTACCGATTCAGATGTTCGGGCTTCCCCATGCACGACGCAGAACTTCTGATACAAGAAACGAAAATCAACTCCCTCTGTACCTTTTCACCAAAATACTACCAGAACTACTCTTTCTAAAGCTGTAAAGTTGTCGGCCTCGGGACCTGAGGGGCTTCCGGGTCCAGGGCTTTAGGATTTGGGACAGGAATCGGAGTTACGCACGGACTTTGCAGCCCATGTTCGCTTGGACTCGAGGCGCCGGCGGGTCATGTGCATATGAACATGTGCTACACAGTCGCTTCCAATACAAGCAAAGTGTTGTCACGAAACGTTTGCTGGGGAGGTCACCTCGACTACCCAACTCTGGCCCGTGAAGACAGGGAATTTTCACAAAGACTTAAGGCTTCTGGGTGAGGACTTTGGGGGTTAGGCTTCAGGGTTGGGGTGGCTCCTGGGTTTAAGGCTGTTTTGCATGGTTTTGTGAAGGCTTGGGTGAGGTGCACTCAAGGCTTCGGGTTCATTCTTTGGCCGAGGAGCTCCCGCGGGTACAGCGAGACTCAAGTTTCCTTCGACCATTACGGGTTTAGGGTTTAGGGTTTAGGGGTTTAGGGTTTAGGGGTTTAGGGGTTTAGGGTTTAGGGGTTTAGGGGTTTAGGGTTTAGGGTTTAGGGGTTTAGGGTTTAGGGCTTAGGGTTTAAAATGAACCCGCGACCGAAAGATCATCCCGCCCCTCAGAATGTGACACTTTGCACCTTCATCAGCTGCTTCGAAACTTCTTCTGCTTTCACGGGGACCTGTGCAGAAACCCTTACCCTCGAGTGAGACGAGCAAGAGAGGGTTTGTTGGAGATGGGCTTGCGTCGTGGTCGTGTTGCCTATTCCCGTCTCGTGGGGCTAAGAAATGCCCACATGCAGAGAAGCTGAAAAACGAAGAAATGAACGACCTTCCAGCCAGTACGGCCAGGAACTCACCCCCACACCAACAGACCTGGAAGCCCCAAACCGAACGACCGCAGCCCGCAAGTCTCCGGGTCTCACAAGAACAGCAGAAGGTCGAGATTTCATAGGGTTTCAAGGCCGGATTTCACATGCCTTTGTACTCGGCAAGACCAGCAGGTAATGTCCACCAGGCTGATTCCTCGGCAAAAACAATCTCGAGCTATAGAGAGTGAACGAAGAGACATGCTTGCAAAACCAGTAGGCCAACGAAAGACACTTATGCAATGCAAGGCTATGCCAAATCGTACGATAAAGAAAGCTTCCAGACTCTGCCGCAGCCTTTCTCACTTTCGTGTGGATGATACTGATGCAGTACTCTCTGCTACGGCGGCATGCGGCGCACGGTTCGTCGCAAAAAGACAAGCTAACCTTGTTGGGGGAGTCAGCTTTACAGCCTCAAACCCTAAACCGTTGACCAGCTTCGGCTTCTCGATGGTTGGTGGTCGCTGTAAGGATGCAAGATACCTCGCGGAGAGGCTGGCAGTTTAACCAAAGGTCGCACCGGGTACTAAGGTCAGGGTGGCCAAGGTGTTAGCACAGAGCAAACTCTAAAGCTTTTTCAAGCCACGCTTACTCAGAGTAAAGGCTGCTTGCACAGCGCGAAATTGAAGGTGTAAGGCGCCGGCCTCGCGTTTCTAACCACACGGACGGTCCCCGTCGGCTCCAAGGTGAACGTCACGATGCCGCCCGTGGAGTCCTTGAGGGACACCGGCTTGGCGTCCTTCCTGCCGTTTCGGGTGCGGGTTTCCTGTTTGGGGCAGAGGGACGCCTACCATGCCAAATATCACAAGCTGCATCTGATGAGACCATCGGCTGTCCTGGTCCTCATATGAGATGGTAGACCCATGCGTAATCTGGCCAAGATCTTTGAGTCACGATCCTTCTATCGGGAGGAGGGGTGCGTGTGCTTTGGACATGGCTCACTCGATTCCAGTTACCACGGCAAAGGAAAGATGAAACAAGTTGGAAAAGGCAAAGGAAAAGGCAAGGACAAGGGTAAAGGACTTCCTACAAAGGAAAGGCCAAGAAAGGCAAAGGAAAGGATTCAATCAACGCCGCATCATCCCCAAGGGATCAGGGGGCCCCCCCCTACGCCCGGATGCCTGCAATTCCACCGCACCGGAATGGTCCGCAGGTAGCTACACCGGCCAACAGCGGAACTAATCCGCACAACATGAGTACCAGTCACTCTTCTTCAACATGTTCTAGCCTCCAACAGAGAAGGAGACCGAAAACGAAGAGAAGAACACCAAAAGGCTCCCCTTGGAAAAAAGGATCCACTAAAACCGCAAACCCAAAAGGATCAGAAGGAAGAGGCGCAGATCCGATTCCTCAAAAAACCCTGTGTCGACTGAATCTTACATTCTTGTTCAATGAGCGTCCATGTCCATGGCAAGTGTTACTTCTGTGGGGGGATACCAATTGAAGTTCACAGGATGCAGCAGAATGCTTCTGCTACGAGGAGGTATCCCTACTCGGATGTACAGCATCTGATGCCTGTCAATTTCTTTCGGTTCGCCGGTGATGCTTGCAGCCGGGATCGCCAAAGAAGGCTTGAGCAGTGCTACCAGGTTTCTTCATTGGGTTGCCGATGTTCTTAGGTCTTGAAGTTGCTTCTTTCTTTTGGCTGTGTGTTTTGATCGATTAACGGTGCAGATTTTCCAGCGACCAGGGCTTCGTCTCTTTCGCCTCTGTTTCCATTCGGCAAGTGATTTCATGTGGTTGACATAACGGGTGTGCACTCCCTGTTCACGTCCATAGCCGTGAGCCATGTATGTCGCCGGTTCTGGAGTGATCAGCACCCACAGTAGCGCTGGAGTGAAAAGAGACTACCGTACTGCAGCGCCCCAGTACCAGTCTCACAGGGGCTGGTTTAATGGGTGTATGCCCCATGTCCAAGGTCCTGGCAGTCAGTAGGAGATAGAAAAAGAGACTGACATGACCCGGATCTCCTGGCCTCCTCAACTCGGATCCTGTGGCCCACTGGCCGAAGGAAGGTATGCAGGTTTTGACCATAGCCAGAGCCCGTTATTGCGAAGCTCGCCATCATCCCAGTGGCCTCCGGCACGTGCTGGTGCGACACCTGACCATTCTTGCGACTTTGGAAAGCACGGAATCGCAAACTTAAGGAAAGCTCGTGGATTCCACAACTTTTTCGCCTCTAAACGGCACCAGAGTGAACCAGGCATTCCACTGATACTTCGCACAGTCATTCGTGAAACGCGATTTCCGTGCTAGCGGCTAGCGGCGTGACAACTCGCGCAAAAACCCCCGCACTCCAAGTCCCTTGTTCTCAGTTCTTTGTCTGCTAGTAGCACACTCTGCATCATGAGCAGTGGCCGAACCTTGAAAGAACCGTTGAGTGGTGTATGGCCTCTTTAGCTAGGCGTAAGCACTCCGCAGATTAGCCACACTAATTCGAGATCAACTGAGAATTGAGAAAAGCATCTTCAAAAAAGCACAGGCTATCCCACCGCAGCTTCATTGACAAGATCCCGGTCCTACGAAAGGACTCCACCAGAAAGCCCCCCAGCATCTACACGTGCCCAAGCTCCGAGCAAAGCCGGGCTTGATCCTGACCGATACGAGTCCTAGGGGTCTATAGGATCTATAGGGGGATCAGCAGCCTTTAAAAGGCCTAGCACTTCCCGGCACTTTTTCAAAACCAGATGACCAGCCGATGGTTGAGCTTCTCCGCCATCGCTGTCAAATCCCGCGTCTTCATGGAAGACAGCAATAGCCTCTTTCAAAGCTCGGGACTTTGGATTTCGACCATGACTCCTAAGCTTTAATTTGGAGGGTCTTGCAGGGAAAATGCCGGGAACATGGTGTTTGGTGTGATTCTAATTTTAGCAAAGAAGAACAGAAAAAGAACGAGTACCAGCTATGCTGGGCAATACACTATGCCAACAACGTGGCTTCGGGTTCCATGTCGCAAGAATAAGACTAGCTCAAAATTTCGGCAGCTCCGGGTGATTCGGCTCGGTTCTAAGAAAGGAAGTTTGGCCTTGTCCGAGCCTCTTCCCCCTGCAACGCACGTTCTGCCACAATGCCGTGGGGCCCAGTGGCGCCTGCAACATAGAACTTACACAGGGAGCCCTTTCTCACCTGCATCAGATGCGCGTAAGGCCGGCATGGGGAGTTGTTGCCAAGAGGAATCCCGAAGACCAGGGCTGCTACATCACTCCATGCGCATGTGCTATGCAGCTGGCCAAACCCAAGATGTGGCACTGCGCCTCGCCTGGTTCGTCCGCTCAGGCACCTTCGTAACTTGCGACTTTGTGACCCTGCTGTCGCAACGCAGCACTGGCATTACTCGCCAATCGAAGCTTTCGCCATCCGAGGACGGGTGGTTGAACATCCAGTCGGCTGGGTTAAAAGAGTGCAAAATCTCATCAGACCCAGTGTCGATCGTGAACAGGTGCTGGCTGTTCAAGCCTTTGTCCATTGAGAAGTTCGCATTCCATGTGAGCAATCCTGAGCTGTAAAAACGCTGTTCGCGCTGTTCGGGTCTGATTTTGAGCGTTTCCGGAATGAGCTGAGGAGGTACGCCTCTAGCTACTGCTGAGCCGGAGCCGTGGCAAAGCTGACTGCTGTACTGGTAGGAGGTTTCTCAGCCGAGCTGAGCGTCACTGCTGTAAAGCGTTTCAAGATTCTTGGGGGCACGGATAGTCTCGGGGTGGGTTTGTTCTGGAGCAGAGTGCATGGAGACAACGCATCTACGAGCAGCGCAGCATGAGCTCTGAACAAGCCAAAGCGCCAGTGGCTTCCGCGAAAACGTCCACATATACGTCATAAAGGGCCTCTGCGGGCTCCTCTTGCAAAGGGATCCGATCCAGACCATGTCGCACAGGTATATCTGAGGATGGAGACTTGGGAGCCTCCGGCTCCCGTAACTCTGAAATGCACTTCTCCACCCAGCTCGCAGGGTCGAACTCGACAACGCCATCGGGGAACCAACCCTCGGTCAGTTCGGGAAGCTGGTTGTTCTTCGAGTCCGAGGAGGAGCCGTGGAGCTTCGATTCCGTCACGGACGGGAGCTTCCTCCCATATGTCCAGCCAGAGCTGTCCCGCTTCAAGACCTCGACCAAATCTCCTTCAGCCACCCCCATCAAGCTCGGCTCCGCTGTTTTGGGCCTCCAGCTCTCCAGGACATCGCAGGTCGCAAGGCTTTGCTGCAGCTTCTCAGGAGCACCGGGATGGCTCTCACCAAGGTGCTCGTAGGTGATGGGCAGGTTCACGGAAGCCGAACCCAAAACCTTTCCGTTTGCATCTTTGAACGAGAAAACGAGGTCAGGCAGCAAGATGAAGGGCTTGTAGCTTGAGTTCTGCATCTTGCGCACCGTCTCCGGAGCAGGTGATCCTGGCACGAGTTTCTCGCAACCTTTGAGTAGCCTGAAAACTTCTTAGCCCTGTCTGCAGCCTGGCGTCCCGCACTTCGAGGCATTTCTGAACTAGATGGTCTGCTGCGACGGAAGACCCAATGACAACTACCCTGAGGCATCCACTCCCCTGAAACCCGAAGAAGATTCTCTGAACCCCCTACGCCCAGAGTCCCAGAGCTCCTGGGCTCTGCCTGACCAAAGCCTGCAGGTAGGGCACCACCGGTCCCGCAAAGAGAGCCGAGACACGTACGCCTTGCAAGCAAGCTTTCTTTCTTCATCTTTCTTCGGCACTTTTGGCTCAACCCAATGTTGGCAACCAGGTTTCAGGCTCAGAGGTTAAGTTTGACAACAACCTGGAGGAAGGCACCAACAATCCGTGCCTTGGAACTCCGCACGGTCAATAGCAAACTGCCACGCATCTTCCTCCAGCTCTGCCTGTTGACATGCGCACTTCGACAGCGACAAACAGTAACAGGCACAGCCTCACAATCACTTGCAGTGTGCTCGGGGCCCTGATGTCTAGATCATGAGCCTTGGCAACAATTGCGGGGTTCTAGCTCAAGTTGGCTCTGCTGGTTACAACACCAGACAACCAGGCAGTCCATGCTAGCCGGCTGCTGGCGGCTAGCCCAACGGCCTAACGCAGCCTCAGTCGCTACAGTCTTAAGCCGTTTCAGCTTGGACCCTTCCAACAGCACTGATGTCGAAGATGAGGCCTGCGAAGGCGATTCCGAAATCTCCGAGATCTCTGCTTCGGAGTCCAAGCTTTGCTTCGCTTTCTGGGCATCGCTCTGGCTTTCCATGGAAATGAGGCCCTCGACATAGGTTCTGAACGCCTCCAGCTCCTCCTCCTTCCTCCAGAGGTAGTCATACACATACTCTACTGACTACTGACTGAGGGGCAAGAAGAAACGACCTGTAAAGATGCTCCTATGCGTTCTGGCGGGCGGCTCTTTTCCACGGAAATTGTGATTGTCGTGGACCTGGAAGTCGAGTTTCATGTTCCCCCCTGCTGGCAAGGATGGGGTCCAGAACGGGATCAGGGAGAGGCGCGCCCCAGGGAACATCTCCTCTGTCGATGTCCGAAAGCCTAGCAAATCCAGTGTAATTCTGTATTTCATCTGTTGTTCAGTTTGAATGTTCATGACCTGGCCAACCTCTGCAAGACTTGCGTGGCCGCTCACAGGGGCGACGTCTTTGGCTAGAGAATATGCTGCCGCGAGCAGCACTCGCGGGCGCAAGGCCCAGGAAGGATCGAGACAGTTGGGCTGGAACTCCATCTTGCCTTCCGAGTCCAAGGCGTGCCACCAAGCTTTGTGGGAACGGTTGATATCCTCCGATGCCTGAGAAGGCGACGTCAACACTTGGGCATTCGTCACCACTGCCTGGCCCATGACTTTGAAAGTCTCGGAAAACATAGAAGCATCGTGGTCCAAGATGCGCACCAGAATTGGGGGCAGGCAAACTTCTTGTTCCTTGCAGAGGCTGGGCCCCAAGGGGCCATCATCCACGTCCACCTCCAGGTCCAGAGGCCCCAAGACTAAGCGATTCAGAAGGGTGGGATTCACAGTTCTGCGCATCGGGTCCGTCTTCGAGCGAACACAGAGGTTTTGCACCTGGACCTCAAAGCAAGGGTCGGCCAGGCCGTCATCATCTGCCTGGCGCAGAGACCGGGCGGCCAGGATGTCCACATGGCAGTAGACTTGTTGGAACCTTCGCCTCACTGAGGGCACGTTTTGAGGCCTCACCTCCTCCACAGTCTCTGCAGTCGGCTCTGAGCGCATCACCTCTTCTGCAGTCTCTGCAGTCGGCCCTGAGGGCACCCACATCTCGTTTATCTCGACATCGTCTCTTGTTGCACCACAGCACAGAGACCCTTCCGGCACTTTTTCGGCCTGCTTGACCGAAGCTTCAGCCACCAACTCCTCCGCATTCTCGAGCGTCGCGGAGCCTAGGAGGAATCCGGCGAAAGTTTCCCAGCCTTCCTTGACGTCAAGCACTGACTTGTCACAGATGGCCCGAACCCATCTTCCGGCTGTCTTCCCTGTCTTCGAGAGAGGCAACTGGCCATAGACTTCCGGCGGCGACTTGTCCATGCCCTCCCTGACAATGTAGAAGAAAGCCATGCTGACATCACCGGCCAACCGTCCTAGAAAGGACTTCTCCTTCTCCAGAAAAGTTAGGGTCCCGTCAGGGTCCACCTTCCCAGGGAAGCGAAGAATTGGACAGCCGCCGCCGCGTCCGCTTTCCAGGCCTGGCACTTGGACCAAGACCGTCACCGGCGCCGTCACCGCCGTCTGCCCGGCGTAGCGGCCGGCGTATTTGGCCAGGTAGAGGCCCCGACAGAAGCGCACTTTGAAGCGCACGAATCTCATCTCAGCATTCATTTGCTCCACGAGACCCTCCACTTCTCCTGAGAAACGGTCGAAGGCCACGTACAGCGAGGCCTGGCGGCCAGGAACAGCCCAAAGCCATCCAAAGCCACTGTGTATGACATATACTTAGTATAGAGCATACCTGCACCTGGAGACAACCCTTGTGTATGATAAAGTCCTGCTCGAGAATAGTGTTTGCCGGCTTGAAGGGGTGTCGATACGCTTATTTGCTTTTCGCCCGTTTCGGACCGGAAACGCTCGATTTGCAAAAACGACGCGTGTTTCCCAAAAAAGCTCGATCCCCAAATCCCTCATGAGCATGCTACTTGCTTCTGATATCGACATCAGCCAAACCTTGAAGTGCTTCTTGCGCAAGTAACCGTTTTTTGAACTGCTTTTTTGCAGCCGGGGCAGCACCGGCTTGCATCGCTTTGTTTAGTGGCCATGCTCGACCCCGAATGCAGAAGACGGCAACTCACACAAACACACCCTGAGGCTCTGCAAGAAGGAGAAAGCATGAGAAGGCAGAGGAGGGCAGATTCTGTCGTTGCCACTGCCAAGCCCAGTCGTTACAGGCAGAAGGCTGCTTCGCAGTGCAGATCGGCATTGCAAGCAGAGCCCGCTAAACCTCCCCACCCCTAAGCCTCCCCAAGCCTCCCTCTCCCCTTCCTTCTTGAGCCTGGTAGGTGGAGGGCTGCTCCCGTGACCGGGCCATCTCCTCGGCGGCGTCCAGGCGCGGGGCCCCGGAAGCGGGCCCCAACACATGGCGCCAGCAGGGCGAGCGCTCCGCGAAGCTGTCGAAGATTTTCGCCTGCGCAGGGGCTTTAGAATTGTGACAGGAGGAGGAGGAGGAGGTATCTGAAAACCCTTAAAAACCTAAAAAACCTAAATCTCGAGAGTCTTGTCACGGATATCTCGTTGAAGGACTTCCCGAATTCAGTTTTTTCATGTTTTTTTCAGTTAGGTTTCTCCAGTTGGGTTTTTCAGTTAGGTTCCCTAAACCCCCAAACCGTTACCCTGGGCCCTTGAAGAACAAGTGTGTATCGATGTTGTCGACGGCGCATACATGAAGCCAGCAAACGGGGGGACCCATACATATATATATATATATATATGCTATAATATCATGTAGAACTCCGCTCAACAGCTACGTCGCGACGTCCCTCTTATATTGCTCTTTCAGCGATGTTGCTGCGCTCGCGTTTTGCCAGCATACGCTGGATGCCTTCCCCAAGAGCTTCGACTGGGACTCGTCCTCCCAAAGCTCGAAGATGGTCTGCGTCGAGTCTTTGGAAGTATACACTTGCACCCCCCCGAACCAGTGGCCCACAGCGAAGCTCTTGGACGAAGGATGAAACTTGCCAGCTTTCTCAGTTCTGCCTCCAGAGCAGACCGTCAGAAAGGGCCGGGGAAACGTGCCTCGCATTGCCACGTGCACATAGAATCGGTCGCCCTTTGATGCAGCTCCTCCTTTGCCCTTTCGCGCAGGAAGCGCGGACTTCTTGACGTGTAAGGGCATCTCATGCGGGGGTGCATGTTGAGTGTGCACATCCAAGATCATCTCCACCTGCAACACAACTACTCAGCATCTGATCGCATCTGGCATTTTCTTCTAGAACGCACGTGACGTGACCACGCGCCCTCCCACACATCCCACCAGCCTCTCCTGTAGTCTTCTCCCGACGATGGAGCAGAGCACGGAAATGGAGCTTCTGGCCGTGCTCCTCTATGCTGGCGCAAAGGGTCTCCAATCGGTCCCGCCACCTACCAAGAAGCATGTTGTCTTGAAGAACATCCACCTGCAGCTCGTAGTCGGAGAGGCCCGCTTTGCTCTCCTTTAGGTCCCACTTGAGGGCCTCGTTGAAGGTCAGGCGCTTTGATCTAGCAGATGATTTCACCGTCTCAGTGAACCCCTGTTTGCATTGTGCAGTTCCGCTTTTGTTCAGGGACGGTGGTCGTCTGCCAGTTGCCCTCATCTCTGTGACCACGTGTGACTTCTCGTCCTCACGGCTCGACAGTCGCCTCCCCGTAATTTCCAGGACCACACCCTCGCTCGGCATCGCACGCAAGGTCAGCATGTGCGGCTGGGCAGAGACATGAAAAACCTGCCACGCACAGATTGCTGTACCAAAGAACCCTTTGACACTCTCACACCACGAATCTGGCAGCACCTGACATGTGCGTAAGAGAGCCCCTCACCCAGCAAAAACTCCTTGACCCTGAGCCCGTCCCCGATCATCGCCTTGCGCTCCAGGGCCTGGAAGAGCACAAGTTCGCGTGCTTGCGAGGGTTAGTTACATGGCAAGATGGCGGCCTGGCTCCTCATCTCCGCAACCTTCTCCAGATCCTTCTTGAGGCGTTGAAGTTGAGAGCTGCTTGCAGTAAACCAGTAAACTCAGTAAACCCTGCCATTGCTAGAGTTCAACCTGACAAAAGGAATCCTTCTTGAGCATGTCCGGCTTGCCCAGCTGGTAGGCCAGCACCAGTCGCGGCGCGCTGTCTGCATCCGGGCTGAATCCGTCGAATGCGCCGGCTTCCGCTTCCAGGGATACCTTTCCAGGGGAAGTTGTGAATTCCAGCGTCGATCTGCCACTTCGTGTTCCCCAGCCATCTAACTATTATGCAATCGCATGTGTAAAAACTTAACCGGTGCATAAAACCAGACCAGCTTGGCAAAGAACCAGTTGATCCCACACCCCTCTCAAGGCAAGCTGGAGGCGGTCGGTCTTTGGACGTCCTGCGACTGGCCTCCATTCGCATGACATCCGCATGCCTGAGGGTTGAATGAGCTGTGCCCAGCGGGCGGCCGAAAAGGCCGCGCCTCATCACCCGCAAGCGCACGGTTGGAGGTTGCAGTGCCGAGACATCCTGCCATGCCGCATACGTGGTCCAGTCGCTTCCCGAGGCCAGGGGTGGAACTCCGAAGACTCAAGTTCTGTAGATCCTCGTTATGGGAGTGGTAGCCAGGCACAGAAGCCCTTAGCCCTTCTGGGTCCTGCTCGAGAAGGTAGTTCCAAGTAGGGAAGTAAGAGGCAGGCGCAGGCTCGCTTTCCAACAGGAGCTCGCTTGGCTGCCCGTCGTCGATCACGACTTCCACATGCAGGGGCTCCTCGGGATAAACGCAGCTTTAGGCAGTTGCAGCGATGGGCTGACAGGTTTCTTGGCACCTTGCTGTCAAATACAACCCGACATGTGTAAGCACACAACTCAGGCATGCAGAAAACCATGGTGAGGGAAAGGAGGACTTTTCTACGTCTGCAGTTGCAGCTCAGGGCCCTATATGGCACCTCATCTGATAGAAGGGGCAGAAAGACTAGCGCACCAGACCAGCGCCACTGCAGTGACATCAGTATCAACGAGGACACGCCAACATGACGACATGATGCGTGGCAGTACACAAAGCCACGCCTTGGGCATGTTCTTGCCATGGTGGATGCAAAGCCTTCGCGGTTGAGCATCTGGCGTTGATTCTCAGCAGTATAGGGGCTAAGTCGGCTAAGTAGGTGAGATGAGGGCAACTCCTCCGCTTGGCCGAGCTCCGAGGGCTTGGGCAACGAATGAAAGAGGGTACTGCAAGGTCTTGTTTTTTACGTGCGTTCTTTCTGTCCGCGAACATCCGGAATGCCTGGCTCGGGGGCTTTAAGAGCTTTTCTGCCTCCCACTTGAGGTTCTGGGATTACGATTTTGGGAGCAGGGTTTAATCTTCAAGCTGCATTCGCCCGTCTTGCTGTCAGTTCGTGAGCTTTGTCGCTCCTTGACTTCTTTCGCGACCTGGCTGCGGCTGCTTGAATGCTTACCCCAGGTCGGCCTGTGGACCCCCTTCAGTGCTGTTGTGGGGTGCATCCGGATTGAAATCAAGGTGGGGCGGCGTCAGCCGTTGCAGAGCTCGCAGATGCAAAACACTTATAGTGGATACCGTACTGCCCTTCTCGCAGCTGTGCCACGGTAGCACGGTAACATGCTGTGCGCAACTGCAACAACCGCAGCGGCAGCTGCAGCAGTTCGGGTTGAACCGACAGAAAGTCAAGCAAGCTGTTCCTTGACGGACCAACAGGTGTAACTAGTACAGCAAAAGCTGCAGACCAGCTGCCGCAGAAGCTGTTGCTCAGGCTTTCCCGCTGCGATCTCGGGCACTTTGACGTCCTCTGGCAGATGGGCATCATCAGATCAACACAAGGGTTTTGGGCTTGCTGGTTCCCAGAGTTTTACCTTTTTTTGCATCCAGGCCTCTTCAAGTCTTGCCGGGAAACGGCCTGAAACCTTGCTGGCTCCCGCAAGCACAACCTGTCAATCTCTGCAAATGTGCCTAGCACCACCTTCCAAAAATGACCTGACCCCAGGAGTGCTGTGATGAAGGGGATTAGGGGATTATCTTGACTCTCTGGATGTTCCTCGGTCATTCGGACGAAACATGCAGGAGCAACATCAACAGCTGCAAACTGCAAACATCTTCACCCACTCGATCAAATCCCTGCCATGAGTCACTCATAACTCATAACGGTCATAACCTGAAAACGACACGCTTGCCCCTGCCTGCTAGCGATGGACAAGCCCCCAAAATGCCCCACGCGAACAGCCAAGACTTCTTGAAATCTAGATCGGCATGCCTGGTCCGGGGAGACCTCCTGGCACTGCACGCAGGCAGCCATTGGGAGCCTCACGACTCGTCAGCTCATGTTTCTTCGCCCCTGCCTGGCTGACTAAGCTCTTCTTGCTGCAGGACCCTGGCGCGAAAACTATGCGACGGCTGAAAGTGGTGATCTGCCGCAGAACCGGGGGTTCGACACCTGGCTCAAGTTCTCAACATCCTAACTTGTGCAGAAGTCCGACTGAGCCGTTGTGGAGCCGTACACCGTCGCACTGGCCACGTTGGGCAAGTGTTACGTGGCGGCAATGAGCTCCCAAGGTGTGAGGCTTTAGGGTCTGTTCCCTGAGAATCTAGCGACCCATCTTGTCTTGTCAAGAAACTGGCAGGACATCGTTGGCGCCGTTGGCATCACGGAGGCCACAGCCCCCGACGCAATGGCACCTGAGGCCATGGCGCCTGAGGCCATAAAGGCCATGGCTGCGGTCTGCCCCAGCGAGCCGCCCCCGGGGGCTGGGGGCTTACACGGTTTTAGGTACAGGGTTTTCAGCTTCGGGGTTTCGGTTTGGGGGCGGCGCCTCAAGCCAAAATGCTGGCGAGATCCACCGTTTTTCCAACTCTGTTGCAGTGACGCGGTGCGACAGCTTAAAGACCAAACCTTCAGGAATGTTTCACGTCCTGTAGCTCCACTGCATCAAGACATCTGCGTGGCCTTTCGGTGAACCCGGAGCTTAAAGGAATCATGGGCAAGAAGAAGACAGCAGGAAATCCAGCGCAAAGGCGGGGGCGCTCAGGAGGCGCAGCACAAGAAGAAACAGAAACGCGGCGCTACCTGACGGCCCTTGGGCAACCCATGGTGTCGCGAAGAAGGATATCCCATCTACTCCCACATACTCGGAGAAGAAAGGAGTGTTTTTCTCAGCTATTTCACACCAAACCTCAAGCTGCCGGACGACGTCATTAGCACTTCAATGCCCCACTCAGCCTCCGGCTTCTGAAGTGGCTCTGCGCCTGCGCCATGCTACATCAGCGTGTATTCTAACATGCAAGATTGGGAATGTGCTCTGCCTTCTGCCCTGACCAGGACGCAACTTTGGGATAGCCTGTAGTAGCTGATGTGGCCTGCGGCTTGCAAAACTCGAAGTAAACTTCCGGCGTCCTGTCAGGAAGCTCAGCACTGGACATGCTTCTGCTGCCGGCTACGAGGCGGTGATACGAGACACCTTCATGCGTTGGTGCCTTTCTAGCGAGATGTTGCATGTCATGCTGGCTCAGTGTTGCTCTTTCTTGCCGATCAATGGCGACCCAAGCAACTGTTGCGGGAGCCATGTTGCAATACACGTGCGCTGCTTGTGTTTCACAAGGCAATTCCAAGGAAAGACTTATCTGTGGAACTGAAACCAGAAATGTGTTGAGGCACCCTGTCAGCGAGCCTCCCCCTTCGTCGCATGCTGCAACATGTAGACACGCGGGGCTGCTTGGTAAAGGAGGATGGCACCGGTGAAGCAGCAGAACATGACTCCCATCAGGTGGATGCGAACGCAGAACCACCTGAGCTTAACACGCCTTGCATGGACATGGTCACAGCTACCCCGATTTCGCGAAAGAGCGGCTGACAGCACTTCTCCTCCCCGCTCCGGACGCTGCCACGGGCAAAGCAGCACACTGACTCACCTGATCTGTGTCCTACTTAAGTTTGTACACCTTGGCAGCATGATGCTCCGGGGGCTGGGGGATTGGCGAAAAGGTCTGGAAGCAATGGGCTTCGCATGAAGGTTTCAGGAACTGCAAAAGAAGGCAAAGAGAGAAAGCGCTTTGCGATCCTTTGCATCGTCCTCTCTCAAGGCCTCCCCAAGGCTCCGGCATGGGGCTGCCAGCTTGGCGTTGTTAGGGCCCCTGGCGAAGGCGACAGCCGGTGTATCCAGTGGGATGAGATGGGAATCGAGTGGTGAAAACAACAGTCTTGAGCTGGCATGTATACATTGGTTTGTGCTGCCCTGCCCTTTGAAGCCAGAGCAAAGACTTGCTCAATCACGAAAAACCATGCCTGGCAACTGAAGCGTGAAGGCCTCGGGCAGAAGCGCCTTTGTCCATGATTGATTCGCGATTCAGACTCGCCTATTCTGCGACGGTGTGAGGCACTCCAACTTAAACGGCTCCGATCCCGACCCGACACGTGTACTGACCAAATCCTATAACTTCAATTTCGACCAGTCTAGAACATTAGCCACCCCACAAGGACCTCCCAAAGCTCGAAACTACACAACGCGTAAATCGATTCGGCATCACGACCTCGTTTCGCCGGACAGGCAGACAGACAGACAGACAGACAGATTTCATTATGTACATACATAGTCCGTATGTATGTATGTATGTCCCCATGTATGTATGTATGCAGGCAGGAAGGCAGGCAGGCAAGCAGAATCCTTGATGCATCGCTGTCTTTTTAAATTCTGTCTGTGTAGACTTTTCGGTCTCGTATTTGCCGGTACACACCTGTTTAATATTGCAAATCCTGTTGCCGTCACTGCCAGGATCAATCCTCGTGTATCGGCCACCAGCCCCCCCCCGTATCTGGTTGTGCATGTATGCTCACCCTCGAAACGAAACGGCGCAAGAGCAAAACCATCCTTGTGTTTCCGAAGTATGCCGTTTCTGCTTTCCTGGAGACTGATTCGGCCAGCAGGAGTAAAGCCCAAACGAAGTGCACGAAACGCTGCCACGGTCACCCTCGTGGAGTAGCTCTTGGCTTGCTGAAAACAAAGGAGAATGCAATTGCCATTGCATCCACTAGTTGCTCACGGTAATGTTTCCGAAACTTATGTTCGTTCCTGTGCCGCTGTGGCAATGAAGGGTACTATACACCCATTTGAGAAAATTTTCAATTCGCTATCCACATTATCTTGCGGCTGCTGTTCTACGGCCAACACCACTGTCACATCCCGGGGCTCCCCCCCGGTCGGTGTAAGTTTGGGTCAAGTCCGGTGCGGCTACTCAGAGACGGAGGCTGAGCAAACGGGGGGGGCATCGTTGGTGTTTCTCAAGCAGCGAGAACCTCTGAATTTGATGCAGTCCACTGGGCAGGTAGCTGCCAATAGCTTCATCGTTTGGCAGCTCGGCAAATGAAAGGCCCTGGGAAGGGCCGTGAGTCTATGACACCCACTGGCCCGGTCATGCCCGGTCCAGATTACCAACATCTAGCATGCTACGGCCATGCGTCGCGAGGAGCGGGCTGCTGGCTTCTCAGGTCAGACTTGACATTGTGCTTTCAACATTCAAAGCTCAAGGGCTTTGAAGTAGGGGTTCAGACGAGCGCATCAGTCATCATCAGCGAAACAATGTCCCAGATAACTCCTGGACAAGGATGGTGCAATTTACTCTGATCCTTCCATCTGTTCCACCTCAGCCGCTGGAGTACACCAGGGCGGACACCATGTTGCAGCCTGGCTGCCCAAACCACGGAGCTTGCTCATCAGCGACTTGGGAGGGAACCTCAAAAAACCAGCAAGACTCCTAAAACATCATGCCAAGATGACGCTTATGTCTGCTGGTGGCGTTCCAAAGCCCGGCGCTATCGGGTGCCGTTTCGGATCCACGGCATGGACTGCTGAAATAAAAAGACACGCAATGATTTGCCATCATGCACCATTTGCGTTCGGCTGGACTGCTTGTACTACTACCACCCCAAACTCACTGACTTGTTATTCAAACCTCTACTGTGCTGCTTCCGAGCATTCATGCAGCAGAGGTTGCATCGAGGTGATGGCTTCGTTCAGAATCCTGGCTTGAAACGCTCATGTGAATCAGCTGCCAGATCACCATCCACTCTCTGACAATTGAAAGCCCGACTCCCTGATGCAGCGAGACGCAACAACCCTTTTTGCCGCATGTTCACAGAATTTGCGAGAGGGAATGTTGCTGCTTTCGTTTTGTTGGCAATGCACCTGCAGGCAACCACAGCATCAACACCAACAACAAAATCGACACGGACACCAGCCCCACTGCCAACACAAAGACTGCCACCAGCACCTTTAGGCTGTGCTGCTTCGGGTTTCCGAGCGAAGTTATGCGGCTAAAGCTCTGGCAGTTGTGTGAAAGATTTCGGGCTTGAGCTTGGCAGTTCGGAGTGGGCGGCAATAGCAAGACAGCCTTGCTTGCTAGCAGCGCGACGTTTGTTAGAGGCTAAGGTCCGACGTTTTCCGGCAGCCTGGCCTGGGACAAAGTCGTGCCGCCTTGCCGCAGGCGCAGCATGTCGATCATGTCGACGCCATCCTCCAGCTCCCAAGCACATTGCGACACTTTGGGAAATCTGGCGGTCATGCGATGCATCAGGCGGCCAATGCAGCGAGGTTGAAGGACGCTGGAATGCCGGTGCGCAGCTGCTCGTCCGCGTCCGTGCCCAACGAGCTCCGCCAGCCATGCGACGTGCAGCATCGACGGCATGGGCCAGGCGCTGGTGGGCCAGGCTGGAAGTGTCGGTCTAACAGGCCGTCACAAGCACAGCGCTTGGGTCAGCTTGGCCCGCACCGCTCCACGCGAGCCAACCATCGGCCCCGTGGCTGGACCGAGTGCTGGACCTCGCGGATGCGGCAGGGACAAGCCGTCTGCCGCTTCGCGGCCCTATAGGGACGCCGTAGTGTCGTAGTGTTGACAGCTTCACACATAGCATGCCGCAGGAACCCAAGCCATGCAAGGTGCCAAAACAAAAAACAAATAGATCACAAAAAGCAAGCCCGCGGCAGCCTTTGCCGAAGCAATCGGCAAGCTGTGCCACCACCACATTATCCACATCGTGAACTTTTTGCAGCGCGCGAAGTTGAGCACAGCGGGGCAAGCAGCAGCGGGCCCGCCAGCGTGCAGCTCTGGGTAGGCGGCTCGGTTGCGGCGCTGGTCGACGTGCAGGGCTCCACCGTCATGCTCAGCTGCACAAGGCTCCGGCCCCGTCCAGCCCGTGCGCGACAGCGGCGAAGCCAGCGTCACGCCGCAGCAAAAAGCCCCGCCAAGAGGTGTCACGCCGTAGATGACGAGGCGCCGGTCGTCGGAGCGGACGTTGGGTGCAGTTGTGTGCGCCAGCCACTGCTGGAAGACCGCTTGTCCATCCGGGCCGACGGCCTCCCGAGCCACTCGCACCCATGCCCGTTCCACGATCTTTGCCCTGCGAGCCAACAGCCCGGTGCGAGGGCAGACCAAAGCATGGGATCTGCAACCACGTTGCCGTTGCCCCAAGTCAGCAAGGACTCAGCAACGAGATGGGCGGCAGCCCGGAGCTCCCGATCCGCATCCGAACAATGACTCACGAGGTCTGGCAAGAAACGTCAAGCGATGCTCATTGCATCTGCGCGCCCTGTGTGTGCCGTTGGCACCACTGGAGACCTCGGAGTTGAGCTGCGGAACTGAAAAAACATCACAAGGCCGTGATCATGCGGATCTATTGTTGCAAGAGCGCATCGCGACTGCCGCAAGCCAAGTGGCAGCTCCCAATGCTTTCGCAAAGGAGCACACAGTGCAAGCAGTGCCTCCTGGCCTCGCGAATAAAGGTAGCTTCGTGGCCCCAGCTGATTGAACGCTTCGACCAAAGCCTTGACCACATCCAGCCTGCAGCACTGACCTGCACTGACACACGGCCTGGGAGACAGGCAGCCAAACAGAACACACGCAGGGATAGGGATGCGCTCAAGGTAGGTGCTTGAGCGAAGACCAGAAATACGGAGACGACACGCTGAGTGAAGAGGCTCCTGAATTATCTCCATGACATCGCATGAATGAGAAGTGTTCAAAAAATGAGCCTGGGGCTACTGTCTGACCTCACAGTTTGCTGTGAAAACGAGTCTGCAATGTGGTTTGCGACCCGCGAACGGTGACGTTTTTTTTTTTTTTTTTTTTTAACGGACTTTTCCGACTGCAAGAGGATCCGGTAGCTACGACAGTCCTACGGCATCACATTACTGCGTGCGGTCCCGGTTTAGGGCCGCAGGGGCAGGCGGCTGGGCGCCTCGTCAGCGGCGAGGTCGAGCACACGGTCCAGTGCTGGGCCATCGCCCGGCCCCGGCGCTGGGACGGCTGGCCACGCGCGACCCAAAGCCGTGCCTGCAACGGCGAGCTGGACTGAGACTGACAAGGCTCCCCACCAGCGTCGCGCCCACCCAGAGGACGTGGCGCGACGCAGTGCGGGCGGCGCACGGAGAGCTCGGAGGCGGACGAGGTCGCGGACGAGATGCTGCGCTGTTGCATTCCAGCGGCCTCCGATTTCCGAGCCCAGCACCAGTAGCTTCTGCGGGCCGCCCCTCGCGAGCTCCGGGTAGGTGCTTTGCTTGCGCCGCTCCGCGACCTTCAGCGCCGCCCCGTCCACTTCCACTGTGCATGGATGCGGGTGCCCTGTCCTCGTGAGGGGGGACACCAGTGTCGCGTCGCAGCACAGCGCCCCGCCATTGGCTGTGGCGCCGTAAACGACAAGGTCAAGGCGCCGACGGTCTTCGGTTGGGACGCCGGGAGCAGTTGTGTGGGCGAGCCACTGCTGTGGCACGACCTGGCCTTCGGGTCCTACGGCCTTGCGCGCCACGCGGACCCAGGCGCGCTCGACCACCTTCGCACGTCTGGCCAACAAGCCCGTCCGCGAGCAAGCTAGGGCATGGTCGCCTAAGGGGTCCATGGCTCCACCACATCCGGGGCTGGGGCCGCAGCGGCTGGGGCAAAGAGGCAGGGGCAGGCGAAGGCGTCGCAACGCGATGAGCATGGCCTGTGGCGGGATGCTGGTTGCCTGGTCGCACGGCACAGCGGTGAGCCACGCTCCGGCATGCGGCCCTGCCTGGGAGCGGAGCAGTGCACGCGAACTGGGCGGCAAGGAAGGCAGAAGCACGCAATCGCGAGAGTGTACGGTAAGGGTCCGCGACGCGTGGTACTGCCAGCCGTGCGGCCAGTCCCCGGCACCAGGGGCTGCAGGCGGGGCAGGACGGGCTCCTTCGAGGAGCGCACTCCATGTTGGGCAATCGCTCCATCCTTGGTCCTGCAAGGTACGGCGTGCATTCGCTGCTTCTGCAAAGCAGTGCGCTCCACCTCCGGCGTCGGACTCGAGGAGGCGCGCATAAGTGGCCGCGCTTGAGGGCAGGCGCGCATTGATTGCAGGCAACGCATCCGCCCAGGAAGCCCAGTAGGCTGCAGGCGCTATCGCTTCAGCGGATAGCAACCCCAGCCCGCCCAGCGCACCTGGCAGGGCGGCGACCTGCCTCGCATGAGCGGCTTCCGCGTCGCCCATTCCGCCGAGCATGGCTTGCAGCGTGGCCCATATGGCATCATCATGTCCCCGCGCGTACGTCGCAGACGCCGAAGTGGGCATGGTGCGAATGGCATGGTTCGCACGAGGGGATGCGCACATTAGCAAAAGCAACCATGCACACTGTAGGTCTGGCAGCTTGGGCAGTTGGTCGAGGAGCTCTTGCTCGGCGCGCAGCCTATCCTCGGCCCATGCTTGCACGAAGGCAGGGTGGCCCACGGGCGAGCCAAGGACGACGACACCCTGTTGGGCGTCTGGCTTGTCGCCTCGCCACACTTCATCGCCCAGTTCCGCAATCCCGGGCGGAGCTGGACCTGCTTCGGCGGCGGTCACCCGAGTCTTGCCCAAATTGGACGCGATGCCACACCGGGCTTCGACAGCGTGCACGGTCGTGTCCAAGGCGGCTCGCGCGCGACACGGCTGTGTGATAACATACAGGTCATCCAGAAAAGCGACGAGGCTGTCGTCTGGGTGAAGCGCCGCTGCCGCCTGTTGGAGAGCATCGTGCTGTCCCAGTGCGAAAAGCGCGGGAGCGAGGGCGTCCCCTTGCTCGCACCCTTCACCCTGAGGGACATCCCGGCAGCGGCCAGCGGAGTCCCACCAGCAGTAGCTGGAGGGGCTCCCGTAAAACAGGCGCACGAAGGGGAGCAACTCCGGCGCCACCTCGCGGAGTTTGCCGAGAAAGGCCGCCCGCGACATGCTGTCGTAGGCGCTGCGGCCGTCCAGCGACACCAGCACGGCGCCTCTGCGTATCGCGAGGGCGGCACGCACGTGGGTTGCGAGGGCGTCTGTTCCAGCTCGCGCTTGCAACGCAAATTGGAATGGCCGCGTTGCCTGGTCGAACTTATCGGCCCACTCCCTGGCAAGCGCTTTCGAAACCAGACGGCGGAACATGTCGCCGGTAGCGATTCCACGCACGCCCCCGTCGGGCTTGCGCAAAGCGGTCAGGCGAGCCATGGCGAGTGCCTTGCACACGTCAGCTGGCACGCGAGCCTGCGCGAGAAGCGTGGAGGCTTCCGCCAGAAGCTCGATGGCCTCACCATCCTGCAGTAAAAGCTTCAAGTGTTCCGCTCGCATGCCCGAGAGGCCGGGAGCCCCGCCACGACGTGCGGAGCGGAGGGCGGCGGCGATTGCTCGCGTGCTGAGGTGCACCGGCTGGGACGGTTGGTGCTGAAGGACGTCCTGAGCGATTGCGGTCCGTGC